AATCAAGCAGTCATTTCAAACAGGAACGAGTTTAGATCTGTTTAAATCATATGACCCAACTGTGTTCCACTTTTCATCGTTGGTTACCTTTTTCACAACTATACCGGAAGATGCTATGCGAAATAGGGGATATTTAGGTCATGGGGGATTCTCGACGAAACACTGACACTGACGAATGAGGAAAACTCGTATAAAGCGAAAAGAGTGTTGCATGCAAGTCTTGGTATTAATATATTTGTATGGATACCTGATTCCAGACTGGATCTAAACAGTCTTTTTGAACGTCCGTTTTCTTTTCATCTCCTGGAGGGTAAAAAAGAAAATCAAAATTCAGCTAAAGTAAAAAACGCCCAGGGTTTGTCTTTTAGAGTACTTCTCTCATGTAGATTAATCCGTAATAAGGAATGCAGTCCATTTAATTTCTACTTCAACGCGTTAATTGCGCGGCCATGATCTATGCACTGAGTTATCGTTGCTGGTAAAAGGAAGTTTGCTCGGAATGATCTTGATAATGTACAACACGGCGTGGTATCGAAGGGCTCATTCGTGAGCGTGGGTGTGTGTAAGGGAGGCGGGAGGAAAATGATGTTATTTTGTGCCCTTTTTCTTGCGTAAAAATTCTTACTGTGACCTAACATTATTGCTTCGCCTCAACAGGTTCCTATTATATGTTGTAATATAAACGCACAGACGAGAAACAGACACAAAAGTAGTGTAATAAAGATATCATTCTACTCGTAAATAAAAAAAAAAAACAAAACGAAACAACCATATTTACAAAAACCCTAAGAAGCCAAAGCCAAACAGAACAACACAGAACGAAACAATACAAAACAATAATAAAAAAAGACATCAAACAAAACTAAAAAAAAAAAAAACAAACAAAACAAAAAAAACAAAAGCGAAAAAGAAAATAAAATAAAACAAGACGATAATATAGGAAATGTATTAAGAGAGGTAACCAATAACTGTCTTATTGGTTTGTATTTTATTCTTATGTGGATATTAGGTCGTCACATACTTGCATCCCCGATGTTGCATGTTAATCAAAATAAAAAAAGAACAGATTTTTCACATGAAAGATTTTGAAGATCAATTTGCCATGAATAATTTTTTCCACATCTATGACTTCTATTCAAATCGAATGTCTAACACTAAAATTAAATAATGCAAAAATGCAATGTTAAGCGAGCCATATAGAATTAAACTGCCGCAACGACGCCCTGTAGTTTCGGCAAAATTTCGAGGCGGCATTTAAACAGCTGTAATATAATCACGAAAGGCTCTAACTAGAATTAACTCAAAGGAAAATAGATTGCAAAACTTGAAAGCCAATGGCTTTTCTATTGCTGGCCGATGCATAACTAAAATTAAAGCATTTTTAATGTGCTTAAACTCAAATCGGAAAACAAGTGGGCGAATATTTCAGTACGATTCTATAAACTTTATTCGAATCTATGGCTCTTCTAAAGTGTATTTGTCACTCGGAAAATGATCTGCGGAGTGCGATCTTTCAGGATAGCTCAAAATATTCATGTTCAAGTTACTGTGGTCAAAATGACCAATGAAATTTCAGAGGATGTTATTTAAAAAGGCTTTCAGTTTTTTTACTTTGCTAATTATATCGCACCTTCCGTGATGTTCCAATATTTCAATGGCTTTTTTTTCAGAAACGCCCTTTATTGTCAGTCATTCCGAAAAAGCCTGCTAGAGAACAAATCTAGAACCTAATTTCCATTTTATATCCGGGGGCGAAACTTCAACTCTAGTTCAAAAATTCCGTGCTATGGCTTCCTCGCTACAAAATCCCTTTAATGCTTTTCATAAACACTGAAGAACAAAACAACTCAAAGCAGGCAAATAGAAAAATGAAACTCATATTGAATGATAAAGCCGACCTATTCAAAGGCGAGCGATTTTTTTCTTTGAGAAGTGAAGCGAGACGAAAACACTCCCGATGTTCTTTTATGGAGGTAAAAAATCTCTATGGCCCGATGCCAACGGCCATCTTAGGACAGTGAAAGCTTTGTCAAACTGAAACAGAAAATCTAAGGGCGAAAATAAACTTTCGAAACGAAGTATTGCAAAATAAATAAACTTGATTTAAAATTGTGTATCCACCTGAGTGCCCCAGGTTACAAATGCGACTTTAACTTGACTTTAAATGTGCAGTGGATACCAGAAAATTGATAATTTTTCCTATTCCAAGATATCTTGGTCAAAACTGTCGCGCACGCGAGTTACTACGCGAGCGAGATTGTTTAGTAAATAGCATTAAGATAAAGGTATATGCGCGCAGTGCAGACATTTTTAAAATTTCGGTTTGAAATGCTTCGCTGATTTTTCAAAAACAATCAGTAAAACTGTAAACAGCAAATCAAAGTTTCGTTGGAGGCTCAGAAACTCTCTCCATAAAGTCGAGTGCTTTATTCTAGTAGAAACAAAAAAGAATTGAACGACTTAAGATTGAAATTTAAACGTTCAGAGACTTTGGATATTGGAATGCACGTTTCTACATGAACATTCTGCATAATAATGAACACTAATTATGCAGGAAAATTAAAATGGAGTTTTAGTAGACTTTAATGCAAGTCAAAATTTTTGAACTTTTCTAAGAAATAATCGTGGCACCCTGCGAAATAAGAGTCTAAACTACGTAAAAATGAGTGTCAGTTTATAAACATGCCATAATTGTACTTATATCGGCTTGTACATGTACGAATTCAAACGAATTGATCAAGCTCTGAAACTTACCGTGGAAGGTAACTTTGGCGTACGGATCACTCTTTCCAAATCTATCGACGTCAGGAAGGTCAGTGGCTCGCTGGACGGTTACTTTAAGCATTTTCCTGGTCTGCTATTTAGTTCAGCAATCCAAGAACACCTTAAACCATCACGAAAGTGAAACGCTTCAACCCACCAGTGACACAAACGCTTCTATCTTTACGGTTGACTTCCACAGCGAGCCTCACACCCATTCACTGAACATTCTGCATAACAATTAGCTTTACGCTCCGACATTCAAAGAAATACAAACACACAATAAAGAGCCTACTTAAGCTTGGCGTCGAATTTGGGTCACGACCTGAATTCTTGCCATATTTCGTGTAACGACGAATATTTGCTCTCTGTTATTCAGACAAAACGAATATCACAACTCTCCCACAAACCTGTTCCAAAATAAAAGATCCCTGATTATACAATTTGATTTTTTCTCACTAAAAGTAATATTGTGCCATTGATAGCCAATCAGTAATTTTTGTACGCGATATAGCTCTCACCGTGTTTATGTTTTTCACATCATATAGCAAACGGTCCGTTTATTTCCGCGCTTTTTGTGAAACAATAGATATTTCTAGTATCGCCTCCAAGTGTTACCCAATACGCGACACTATTTTGCAAAGGCCAACAGAATTTTTAATGGCGTGATGCAAATTCCTTTGGAAAGAAAAATAGAGAAATATAGATTAATAAAAGACAACGAAAGGAAGACCTTTGCGACTTGAGTATTAAAATTGCAGTGGACGCGACCGTGAAGAAGAAGAAATTATGGCACGAATAAGAACAGAGAGTAGCTGGAGGCATGTTTGCCAGAAGAGAATTAAAAATGGGAATGGGATGCACGATTTCACGTTTCCTTTATGTCTCTCTCCTTCTAAAAAACCGTTTCTTTCTTCAGTAAAGAAGACTCGCGCTATCAGGAGCATCAAAATATAAATTAAACTTAGTGACACCAAAAGTTAGCGAATTGTTTGTACTACGATAACTTTCTCTGTGTTCTGCTGGTCAGGAAAGGGTCACATAAAGGTCACAACTATTTTCCTCGAGGAAAAAAAAAAACCGCAGCAGGTCTAGATCTCCTTCTTAACCAAGATTTAACCACACATTATTAGTGCCGGCTATTTTGAGTGTGCATCGAGCCTTTAGAGTAGGCCTAAAAGAATTCTAGAATCAACGGAGACGGATTAGCTAAAAAAAGAACGAGGTTTTGAGGTTTCAGGATAGAATAGACAATACCACAAACGGATTAGTTGAAAATAAATAAACAAATAAAGAATGTTTGCTTTTATGCAATCAGAAAAAAGACATAAGCGAGGGCGTGTGAAGTCTCTGGTTTCATGCATTTCTGGCGAAACAGAAGCTGTATTGACACTTCAACATTTATAACCTAACATCAGTATGCATATTCTCCATACTGTTCCGTATACATTTCCTAAGGTGCTGTCAAGGAGAATTTGTTAAACAATCAAGAGCTTCTTTAGTTGGTGATCATTTCCTTTATTCTTATGACCTTACAGAGAAATTAGCTGCGATTCCTCGTTACGGGTTAAAGGTTAATTTCGTCCATATCTCTATTTGCTTTAGTCATTGGTCGGTTCCTAAGAGGGCTCAGCATCATTACGAAACCGAAATTATTTTACTATTTCTTCTCCACAATTTACATGTTTCGGCTGTTACAAAACTTAATTAATAGAGAAAAATATCAACAAATGTAGTTTTTGTTGTATCATTGGTAATTAATTTTTTATTGAGGAAGTCTCCAAAATATCCTGATCATTTCTATTAATATCTACATATGTTACCCTATTTAGCTCCATAACCGCCGTTCTAGAAACCAAACCAATGAAACTGAAATTTTCAATCATTTTACATGTTTAATGAAGTCAAAACTAGCTCAAGTAAAAAAAATGCAAATACAGATTTATCATATTAAAAAAAGATATTGGTATTTGATTTCTAGCCGTTTTAAAGATAGCTATATATTTGCGGTCTACAAGAGGTGTTATTTTAGCTACAAATAATAATCAATTGCAGCAATGATTTAGATTAATTTTAAATTGAATTGTTCTTTTAAGGAAAGGGAACCATCTGTGGTCGAAAGAGCACAGGTATTTTTTTAGTTCCCACGAAGTTTTTCGATAGTTTCCATGTCATGGCAGGTAAGAAAGAATAAAAAAAAAAAAATGAAAAATTGTCAGCCAGAGAAAAATAACGTGATATAACACCAAAGTATTCTGTTTAATTCACAAGAAACATATTGCCATCAGTATTCCTTATTTTCAATTTTATCAAGCAAGACCGTTCCTATGAACGCAAAAATATTGTTCATACATTTGTTTTACCTCAATGAACGAGACTTTTCTTGAATAACGCACCCGAAAACACCCATTAACTCAACTACTCACAGCAGTGAGCTGCTCGCGAAATATTATTCCTAATTCTTGCGATTTAATTTGAAGTTATTGCCTATTAGAAGCAAGGAACTATTATCAATACCTTAAGTAACAAAAATACATTTTTATTAAAAATCCAACTGTATTGTTCGTATCAAATATTAACAGTAATTGACCCTATTACTTGTGGGGTTGATTTTCCCACAAAAAAAGATTTCCCAATTCTTTTTATTTCTTGTTAATGTCAATTCTATCGACACCAAAAAATACCTTACGTAACCTTACGTAACAAGAGTACTCCATTATCAAAAATTTGATATGCCTAAAATTTATCTTGAAAATATAATCATTGAGTATGTTCATTCCTAGGAGTCCAATAAACGAAGCAAAACTCAGTTATCGGGAAAGAAGGTACCTTTCAGTAACTTGGACTTGCCTCAATAAAATGGCAGTGGTTTATCTCGTCATAGACAAAAAGCAACAAGTACAAAACTATATATCTATACATTGTAACTTCGATTGTTTCACCCTTTCCACCGTTCTCTAATAGGCTGTTATGGAGAATTTGTTTAACAATCGAGAGCTCTTTTAGTTGGTGATCATTTCCCTAATCACTCTTAGAAATTAAAGGGTTAACTGAGGTCTAAGGGCCTCCGACGCTTTTCCAATAGCCTACTCGCAGACCTTTTTTGTCTCTTAAGTCATCGTTAAGAGGGAGAGCGATATGAGCTCGTGAACCACGTATGTCCAAGTACGCAAGCTGATCACTCGAATCGCTCTTAAAAAAAGAACAGATTACCTTAGGAATACAAGCTTAAACGGAAGAGAATTTAACTTTTTTGGTTTGACCCCCTATTGCTGGATTAAAACTTGAGGTTTTGTTCACTTTTTCTTTAATTGCTAAAGCTTGCAAATATGGTTTATCTGAAGTTCCTTCTTGCCTTCTCCGCTAGTTTTGTACAGTGGTACTTCGTACACCAAGCACTCCATTCTACATGTTCCGCTTGGTTCACAGAAATAAATCACCGCTTCGATCTAATTAAACCAAAAGGAGAAAACATGAAAACATTACATGCACATTAGCTTTATCACTTTTTCATGAGATGAAGCCCTTTGGCTGATCGACTAATGTCAGTGCTCTTAACAGACAGTGTCGCTTTTAGGATATTGGACAAACCTCAACCTTGGCGTCTCACAAAAAATGTATTGATTCTTACCCGCGTAGTGGTCTGTGGTTCCCAGTCATCCTCTGGCACATGGACTTTGCATAGTGCTTGAAAAGAATCTTCGGGTACAGAGCCAGATGAAGGGTCTGCATCGAATTGCTCTTGGATAACTTCTTTATCTGACAAAAAAACCTAACACAGAGAAGTCATTGCAAAATACAAAGCTAGTGTAATATGCAGGTCTTAGCTGCAATCTGAGTAACGTTCATGCAGGTAGCCCGCACTATCCCTCTTTTCCCATGCAAGTACATATTGCGCATTGCCGGTTTCGAGCTTGCATTTCATTTCGCCCCAAGTAATTGTGAGAGAATGTCAGAGTTGGTTGAATTGGTTGTCTTGCCCAGGAACGCAATGGGAAGGTAAACGTTGGATCACGAGGACTATAAACAATGTGGTAGAGTGGGATATGGTTCAAGTTAGTCACTTATAACAATTTCCTTAGCACTGAAAAAAAACCTCGGAATATAAACACATGTTCCAAAGGTATACTCGCACAAAGCCAGCTGCTCACTTCCTCATTCATTCCCATTTCACACAAATCTTACAAGTTCTTACAACCAAGTAGCAAAAGAGAATATTTGTTCTCACCTTCCTGTAGTTTATAGACCATAACTTGCCAAGGACTTGTCACACCTTTCGTCAGGTAACATCCTTCAGGAAGACTTATTCCCAGTCTCACTTCCAGGCACGATCCACCGGTCACGTGAACGGGTTCTTTGCTTATGATTGGTGTTCTTTTTGACGTTAATCGTTTTACCACCGCACTCACTTTATTTGATTCGCCGGCGCCTGCACGGCCTTTTGTACGTTCTGAATCTTCAACGATATTCAGCTATGAAGGTAAAGGTCTTTTAGAGCGGATTTTCTGAGACTGATTCTGCCTGTACTAACTTGAATGTACCGTACACTGTATTGCGAATTATGCTCGACACCAAAGAGATCCAAAACTCTTAATCAATGCCTCTGATAATAACTGAGACTGTGTCATCAGATCGTTACTTGTATTCTAA